CTTTACCGACAAATGATAACCTCAAGGCTAGAACACTTTGAATATTACATTAAGTTTTTTCCAAAGTCTCCAAAATGTCTAATAAAAGAGATCAAATTTTATACACACATTAATTTTCAGATTTCAACCTGTGTGTAAATACCTACGCCACTGGTTACCGTCTATGTTTCAATGGAACTGTAAACCCTATGTTAAAGCGAACTTTAAAATTATGATCTTTACTGAGAATTGGAAATTATTTAACTTTCTTTATTCTTCTTTTTTGAAAGTTAGTATAGAATCCAAGTAATTTCCGTTAATACTTTCTAAACTATTCTGAATATAAAACTTACCGTCTTAGGTAAGAATACATTCTTGCAAAAGTCAGAAAAGGGCTTAGGTAATCTTTATTCCGCTATAAATTGTGGAAAGTGTTACAGTTTCGCCTGATATTCAAATTTTATTAACCATACAAATTTTATACACTTGACATAAAATACTTCTGACTATAAAAATACAAATTCTTTTCATACTTCTTAATAAATAAAATTACCTTCGGACATGTAACAAAATTTATGAATACGGAAGCAAATTCTTTTCTGCAATTAATTTTTAATTCACACTACCCGAGACTTTGTTGTTTTTAATTCTATGCCAAAAATAGGAGCCACGTATAGCCATACTTTGTGGGATGGAATTACAAGCAATTACGCCTACATTAAGAGCAACAATTGTACTTACTATTCGCTATTCATAGTTGGTCCCTAGGCTGGAAGTTTGAGTTACATGGATACATAAATCACAAATCAATACCCAGCGTCGGTAAGGCAAATGCCAGTAACGATTATCTATTGAAATGGAATTAATGCAAGCGATTAGAATGCAGAAGCGTAAACCAGCTAACACGCTTTATGTTAATTTACATTTCTAATTACTTAGAAAGGCGTCAATAATTTATTAATTCTCACCATTTAGACTATTGTAGTTTTACACTTCTAAATGGGTACATAGGTACATTTTTTAAATTTCATTTTACGGAAAAAGCATACTAATAAAAATGTTTGCTTGTAGAATGTTAAGATGCATATACGGGGTGCCCAAGAGTGCCCTAAAATGCTACGTCAGTTTTTAAATAAATAGTTGTTTATGGTACTAGTATATACGTCACGCTGGGAAACGTTTAATTTTCCCAAGTGACTTATATGACGAAACACACGCGTGCCATACAAAATTTTATCCAACACTCATAGAATTTCGTATTAATAATAAATAAAAGTAACTTAAAATTCAAAAATTAAAAATCAAGTTGTCACTGTCAGAAAAAGTAATTTAACGAATTGAATGTATTTTTAAAGGAAACGAGTATCAACCTAAATTGTGTCTGTAACCAAGGTACAAGTAAACAAACAATATTTTCTGAGTTAAATCACGTTGAAATCCTAAAATCAAGACTGAAAAAATGTAAAATGTGGAAATTCCATCTGAAATTTTAGAAAAAGCTAATGCGGTTACTGCAGGCATCATTCCGGAGAAATCAAAATCTATATACAACAAAGAACTGAAGTAATTTCAAGATTTGAAAATCAAAGAAGGGGTAAATGAAGATGGCTTGCTGGCTTATTTTTTCAATTTAAGTGAGAAATTAGCTCCATCCGCATTGTGGACTAAATATTTCATGTTGAAGTCAACTTTGAGAGTTTATAAGAACATTGAAATTTCTAAATTAGGAAGACTTTCTAAAGTCTAAGCACAAACATTTTCAACCAAAAAAATCTAAGGTCTTAGAAAGAGAACAAATCGAACAATTTTTGCGTGAAAATGCACACGTCAATGTGTTGGTATTAATAACCTATCAAAAATCCCTAATGTTGTTGCGCGATTTTTGGGCCTGACAGATTCTAATTTATGTACAGGGCATGGCTTGCGTCGCTCATCTGCAACTCTCTTGGCCAATGCTGGAGGGGGTATTACAACACTCAAACGCCACAGTGGACTTAATTCGGTCATTATACAAATCTGTATAAAAAATAACGGTAATCCGTTCCCATGCTACGCACTAGATAAATTACTTTACTGTCAGAGAAAAATGCCGTTTTCCAAAGCTTCCAGGGCGGTAGAAGTAGTTTCAATGCGAAATGAAACACTAAAGCATCAAAGTACTAGCTAATTCGAGGTCACTGACGTTTATAACCGAACATCAAAGAAACATAAAGCTTCCGTCTCTTTATGAATATATTTTCACCATTTGATTGTACTTCTCTTGCTTTTACATCTAAAATTACTTTTAATTTTCTTGCTGTAACTTTCTAGAGGAGCTTTTCCTTCATATTTTAGAACCCTGTCCACACACAGCTTGACCAAACTTTTCTTAGCTGCCAGATGTGCAGTGGACTTTATTTTTCAATAAATAATAGTGACGAGGTATGCCTTAATACTACACATTCTATGGTTAGGGCTAAGATGAGTTTTATTTACGTATTTCATTTATTTAGAAATATAATATAATACTAGACAGCGTCCGGTATAGGGTTTCGTTCAGAAAAGCGAAACCTAAATTAAAAAAATTATATATTAAATGTAAAAGCTTGAGTACCGCACAAATAAAAAATAATAATTAAGATTTAACGATATTTGAATAACATTTGCCAAATAAACAAATTCTTTATGTCATTCATAGAGAGAAAAAATATATCAAGTCAATATACAGGCTGATCCAAAATTCAGTACAAAGTTTTTAGGGAAGTATTTTTGAGGTTAAAATAAGTATTTTTTTTTTCTATAAACGTGGGTCCACAACTGCTTAGTTTTCGATACACTGGATGTTAAAGCATTTTATTTTTTTCGATTTTTTAGGAATAAATTCGAAACAGATTTGAATGTTGGCATAAAATTTAAAACTAAGCCTAGTATGTTTTTTCTCTATCTATTTTGATAATGTCAATAATACTACCGTTTAGTCAGCAGTAATTTTCTCGAAAACGGTTAGTTGTATCAAAAAAATGCAAAGAGCTAAAATTTAAGATCATTGCATTACTACTTACTTAGATGGTGAAAATAAATTTTAAAATTTTTCGCCGTAAATAGTTAATAAAATATGTTGTGCTCTTCATCAGTCATATCTCGGAAACGGTTAGTCTGAGATATTTCGACCAGGTCTATTTGCTTAAAATTGATAGGGGAATAAACGTACTAATACGTAACGCCAATATACAGGGTAGCAAAAAAGTTAGGGCCAATTTAATTCAAGGGTACCCTTATAGGCTTCGTCATAAGCAATGACATTTTTAAATTTAGCATAGCATAGCTGTATTATAATGTTAAACGATAATTCAGCATCAAGGTCAGTCAGTTGGGTAACCCTATTTAAAAAAGATTCACCAATATTAGAACCAAAATCTAAATTAGTTTTTCATTGACTATAGGACACAGTCTTGCATATGCTTACATTTGGACGTAGATTATTATTTGAACACCAACTATTCAGTTTGACAAAATTATTTTGTAATCTAGTGCAACCAATAGAAAATTTAACTTTTAAAAATTTGAGCTCGTCCGTAATTGACATCAATGCATTCAGTTAAATCATTAATAAACATAACAAACAAGAGTGGTCCTAGAATTGAGCCTTGAGGCACCCCTGAAGACTGATGATATCTGTCACTAAAATAAGACTTAAAAGAGATAACCATATGGCTCCAATTTCACTATTAATAGGTTGTGATCAATCAAATGCTTTAGAAAAATTATCATCATCATCAACGTGATCTTCCATATCCAAAGCTTCTGCCACATGTTTTGTTTCTAAACAAGATTTGAGGGAGTCCAATAGCCATTCATAAATCCATGAGATTTGGTTAAGCTGTAGTATTACTAAAAAATTGTAACTAATGCCGAAATTACTGACATTGCTTACAATTCATTGCGGCAGTATCGATCTAATATCGCCTACATTGTCGACAAAACTAGTTTCCTATAGTTCGGAAAATTGTCAATTTGGTGGTTATATGGGTATGGATTAATCATACACCTACTTGTTCGTAATATACGTAAATGTTTATTACAAGGCAAATTAAGCACAGAGAGGTTCAAAGTCAGTTAATGGAGTTCCAATGTCGAACGTCATCAGTCGGAGCTATTAAACACGAATCTATGCGAGAGGAAATCTGGGTAATTAAGAGGTAAGGGGTGAGTTTAGGCGGTACACGGGGTGATTCGTGAAACGGAATGATCATTATAGAAGTAAAAAAAGTCTGGAGACGATTTTGGATTGTAAGTTTCTTTTATTTTACTTTTAAAAGTTAGATTACCATCTAATCCAAATTAGAGAGATTTTCAACACTTCATACGTAACGTTATTTCACTGACTAAGGAAAGAGTGGCTGCAATGTGGTACAGGGTTGGCTGTAGGTCGGATTCTGTTTTATGTTATTTTATTCAAACAAGAAGTGACACAACCGTTGCCTTCTCAAAACTGCACTCTTTACATTATAAGAATACTAGTTATTTCACTACACACGTCATTGTACATGTACATGTCTGCTTCGGATCTGAAGCTTCGCATCGATCGATTTATTCGATACGTATCTAGCGGCACCCTAATGCCTGCCCTGTCGGCCTGTCGTGCCGGTGAAGAATCCAGTTTTTTTCGTTGAATGACGTGCAATTCATTTTCGTTTGTGCGTGTGTGACCTAGTTTGACGCTTTGGTTGGTCGAGTGTACGGCACATGTTTTTTTAGTAGTCAGTAGCATCTTGATTTCTGGGATCGAAGAACATTGTTTGACTTTATTTGCTAAATTTTTTTAAGTTTATTTGAAATAAAGTAAAAAAATGACAGAGCTAATAATAAAGTATATGTTTTAAATGAACAATCTACGATGTGAAGTTTTACACTAATGGTGGCAGTGGTTAAGATCCAGTTGCTCTGATTTTGCAGGATTTTTAGTGTATATAGCGAGGGTCACTACGATTTCTACGCAACTAGCAGGTATTGCATGGAAAACAGTTGCTGAAACAACATACCTGGCGTCAGTGGGTTTGTACGTGACGTCATACTTGTCGGCACTTTCTAGCGAAGTGGCCCACGACACCTTCACGGATGTGGGGTTGAGGAAAGTTACTGTGATGTTCTCGGGTATTCCTGGTCCTCCAGGCATGGAACCTGGAAAGGTTAGACAAAATGTCAGAATTGGTCTTATTTAAACGTTAAGCACTTGATGAATGTATACGGAAAAAAAAGTTTGTATACCGGGTGTCCCATTTAAAAAAAATACACGTGAGGGGGGCGTCTAATTTTGACCTTGACCATGACCAAGTTCATTTCAAGATCAAGTTGATTTTTTCAAATGGAAACACGTATTTTTGATAACAGAAATGAAAATTTTACATCCGACTATGACCTTGACTATGACCTTCATGGGCATTTGAAGGGCATTTGAAGGTCATTTTAGTTTTTTGTTGCAAATTTCCGCCTTGTCGAATAGTGTACTCGGAGGGTTTTCGAGGGCGCTGATCGAGAATATGAGGTCAGAATATGAAAATATTCAAATCCAATATGGCCGACCAATTTTTGGTAAACATTTTTAATATTCATATGGATTAACACTTTGAAAATGCTTCAACCTCCGTTAAAACTCAAGGTCGAGCCGAGTATTCGACATATTGGATCCGCCGTATCGGATTTAACTATTACTAAATTCTGAGCTAGTCTGAGTTCAAAAACATATGAATAAAAATTGCTTGCCGCAAAGGGTTAATGGGTATTCAGGAAAATTATGGCGAGCCCTACATAATCAAAAAGAAAAATAGTAACAAGATTAAAATTTTGCCTGTAAAATACTAGAATGACCTTCAAATGATCTTTTGAAACTTAAGGTCATGATAAAGGTTATTTCCGGAATCCAAATTCTCCAGACTTTCTATTTTGGTCTGAAGTTTACCGGTTTCTATTAGAACAATTAACTTGACCTTGAAATGACCGTGAATGTCAAGGTCAAGGTCAATGTCATAGATGGACGTGAAAGGGCCCGCTCTTCTCATTTTTGGTCTCAAAAGTAGAATTTTGCAACAAAAACTAAAATGACCTTCAAATGATCTTGAAGGTAATGGTCAAGGTCATAGTCGGATGTAAAATTTTATGCTCTCTTCATTTCTGGTGTCAAAAATGTGTTTTCATTTGAAAAAATCAACTTGACCTTGAAGGTCATAGTCAAGGTCACTATTAGATGTCTCCCTCAAAACCCTACAACTTTTATTTGAAAAATTTGTTCATTAAGCCCTTAACTTTTTTTTTTTCTTCTTACTTGTTGAATGATCAAGCTGACCAAACATTGCTCTCCCTCCACAATTTTATGAATTGTTTTAATCTAAACCAGCATAACTCTGTTCACAACACTAATAACAGAATTTTGGACCTTATTTTAAGTAATGTTCACTGCTCTGTTTCTCAAGCTCAGGGGTTGTTGCTACCGGTTGACTTACATCATCCGGCTCTTGTTGTTGACATAGATTTTCCAGCTGCTGACAGTGTTAATATCTTTCCTTTGAACAGAGAAATAGGTTATTTGAATTATAAGAAGGCTGACTTCCATAACTTATATCATGATTTGTCTTTAGTGGATTGGACCATTCTATCTTCATTTACACATGTAGACAATGCTATTGAAACTTTTTATAATATATTGAATGGTATTTTAACGAAACATGTTCCCAAGAGTAAATTTTCAAACTATAATAGGAAATTTCCTAGATGGTTCACAAGAGAAGTTATTTCACTTTGGAAAAGTAAAAACAAGGCATATAAACTGTATAAGTCCACTAGATCTCCTTTTGATTATGAAGAATTCAAAAATATTAGAGCTTCTTTTAAGAGTCGGGCGAGCATTGCCTATACTAATTTCATTTCTGATGCTGAGCGTTCGCTGAAAACTAATCCAAATACTTTTTGGTCATACATAAATTCTAAGCGTGGTACTACATCTATTCCATCTACCATGACACTCAATAATGTTAACATTGATGATCCGCAGGATATTATAAATACGTTTGCTACTTTCTTCTCTAACGCTTTTGATTCCGTAGACAATGTCGATGTGTTGTTTGATGATGCACATATTTCTGTTCTTCATAAACCCAGCATTTCTGAGTCGGATGTACTCGCTGCCATTAAAAGGATTAAAGCTAATATGTGCATGGGACCCGACTTAATCCCAGCCTTTCTTGTCAGAGACTGCTCAGCGGTGTTTTGTAAACCTTTGGCGATTTTGTTTAGACTTATACTAACATCGGGTAACTTTCCCACTCTATGGAAATTGTCAAGAATTACACCCATTTATAAAAAAGAAGCTAAAAATGATTTTGCTAATTATAGACCTGTTTCGATTTTAAGTAATTTCTGCAAGGTACTGGAGGTAATCTTGCATTCACATATTATGCATCATGTATCTAATATGATTGTATCTGAACAACATGGTTTTGTTCAGGGTAGATCTACTATTACTAATCTGGTATGTAAAACACAATTTATATCTGAAGTTCTAGATCGAGGGGGTCAGGTGGATGTCATTTATACGGACTTCTCTAAAGCCTTCGATAAGATTAATCATGCGTTGCTCTTGCAGAAGCTTAATCGATTTGGGTTTGGCACCGACTTGTTGAGTGTATTTAGATCATATTTATCTGATCGGTATCAGTTTGTCCAATTTCGAGGTTTCAGATCGAACAAGTTCTCTCAGACGTCTGGTGTTCCTCAGGGTTCGATATTGGGCCCTCTTTTATTTGTGTTGTTCATTAATGACATTGTTGAAGATCTAAATGTGCATTACCTTCTGTATGCTGATGACGTCAAATTATACCGTAGAATTGACAGCCCTAATGATTGTGACGATCTGCAAAACAATCTTTTGACCTTCAGCAATTGGTGTAATAACAATAGATTACCCTTAAATGCATCCAAATGTAGAGTAATGTCTTTTTATCGCTTATTAAATCCAATTTTATTTAATTACATGCTTGACGATTGTGTGCTCGAGAGGCCTGATTTTGTAAAGGATCTGGGAATTATTTTTGATTCAAAACTTAGGTTTGCGCGTCATATGGAGGACTGCATATCTCGGGCCTATAAGAACTTGGGGTTTATTCTGCGCAATGCAAGGGATTTTAAAGAGTCTACATCGCTTAGATTATTGTATATAACTTTCATTAGATCTAAACTTGAATATGGCTCTGTCATATGGAGTCCGATCTATGAATTTCAGATTTCCGCGATGGAAATGGTTCAAAGAAGATTTTTCAAGTCGGCAGCATTTATATTGGACGGTGTTTATCCTGCGCGAGGAACACAACAGGCTATATTTTATAACCGTTTCGAATTGCAAAGCCTAATTTCGAGGCGTCAAATGTGTTGTGTACGGCTTCTCTTTAAGATTGTACAATATTTAGTTGTTTCTGATGCTTTGCTGGCGTATTTGAATTTTAGGGTGCCTAGACTTAACAATCGATTTAGTAATGCATTCCTTCTATGTCAAGCCCGTACCAATGTTTTGTTAAAATCTCCATTGTATCAAATGATATATAATTATCGTGCCGTTGAAAATGTTTTGGACATATTTTCATGCACACTTGCTGATGTGAAGCGCTGTTTTTTGTAGCTTTTTCTTCTTGCGTTTGACCTATTCCTTTTTAAGTTTGTATGATTTATACTTTTGTCATATAGGTGTCGAGTTTTAATTGTGTTTTTTTTTAATGTAGTTATTTATCTTTTTGTTTTGTGTTTTTTATCATACTTTTACTTATCCTGTAATTGGGCTTTGTCCCGTTGGATATTTTATTGTAATAAATAAATAAATAAATAAATAAAATAAATAAATAAACTTAAGAGATATTTACATGTATTTTTTAAAATGGGACACCCGGTATAAATACTTTCATATAGTAAAATTTAATAATTTTGTCAAATTTATTGTTTATTATATTATTATATTATATGTTTATATTGGTAACATGCAAATACTATAAGATACTAGTCTCACACTAACCGAAATTTTTAACTAACGATTTTGTAGGAAATAACTACTCTGCTGGCTAATGCTCCGACTAGCATCCTTGGTAACTTTCCTTTATTATCCAATTCGTACAGTACAATATTTTATATTCAATATTTTATTGAAACTAGTAATTTCAAATGGAAATAGAAACAATTCAATTTAAAGAATCAATACTTATTAAAAAGTCTGCAGTAATAACTTTTTTCGTAGATCATAGCAATCGCAATATAACTACATTTTTATTACTGCCATAACGATAATAATAGAAGATAATAAAAGCGATACGGGGCGACATATTATTCTTGGATTTACGATATAGGGAGCTGCTTATACCCTTTATGGGTCTTGGAGGAAATCTAATAATACTGCTGCCCATTAAATCAAACTAATTCAGTATCAAAACGGAAACGATGAGGAACGTGTTTATAACTAGTTATTATGCGGCTGTATTGAGGAACTGCAGATGGATTGGCAGGAATTCTCGTTAAAATTTATACAAAGTGGTAACTAACTACAGTATATTATTAAGCTGTGATTACAGTCGCCTTCAAACTTGTTTGCTGAAAGCAAAATACGAAAGTGGGAAGAAAAGTTTTCTGTTTAGAATAGAAAAAGCAAATATCTCTTAATGTTTTTCTTCTTTTCACTTTTCATTTTCAATGTTCTGGAAAAGAAAGCAAAAAATGTGCGTTGTCATCGATACTGAATGAAAAGTAGACAGTATGTAAATATATGGCGTGCTAAAAAATTATTTTTGTAATTTTATGAGAAAACGCCATTTTTTGTCAAATTTCCTGTTCTTAAAAAAATGTTATCATTTTCTTTTTTATTTATACACACATGCATTCAATTTTTAATATTGATTAATTAATATTTGTATTTAAAAAATCAATAAGAGTAATAACCCTAACTTTTTAAATAGCTGAAGGTGTCACTAAAGTTTAAAGAGTTTGAAATATTGATGATTTTTTATTGCTTTCGCTCACAACGATTTTTTTACCGTATATGGTTATAAATGTTAATACAATTTTTTTACCGCGTCGTTTTGAGTATGCTAACCACATAAGCCAAGGACCGATATGAAATTTTCATATTTTATTTTCCGTCGCCTCCTTGC